GCTCGACACTTGCCGACGTCGCTGGGCAGCTCAGGCCGACGGCGAAGGGAGCTCGCAAATGTTGACGCCTGGCACGGGCACCATCCCGTACCCGTCCCATTGCTGGGGACAGTCCCCCACTTCCGCTAGGCAACAAAAACTCGAATACGGGCAGATGCCGCCGTTGTCGCCGTGGCAGGGCTCCAACCCCTCGGCGGCGTTTATCGTGGAATAGCAAAGGTACTGGTTGGGCTGCGATTGAAATAGCGCCCAGGAGGGTCTTGCCATGTAGATGCCAACCCCGAGCCTCTGCTCCGGGTACGGGAAGCGCGGATCGGTGCAGCAGGAGCCTGCCTTAAGGCACGACGCTGGGGGCGGCGGCGGGGGTGGCGGGCGGGATGGGGGCGGCAACGTTGCTGGGCAATGATAAAGTGCATATGGGGAAATGCACCCCTCCGTAATCGAGTTGGCAGTGCACTTCCAACACCCCCAGCAGTATGGCCAGGCCATGTAGGGGTCGTCAATTTCGCACCCATAGCCAATAGGGCCGCCCAAAAAGGGGTCCGCCGTAGGCCCCCAAAAGTTGCAACAATCAGTATTAGTAGGGCAGCTCTCCTCCTCGGGCGGCGAGCAGTCAGTGAGCGCGACATTGTCGCTTGGACCTAGTCGAGCACTCGAGCTGGGTCCAGTGCGCTCTGCTCACTGCTGCTGGGGGGGTCGGGACCCTCCCCCCCCCCGGCCGCTCCCACGGCGGGGGCGGTATCACAACCACTCCGCACTCGCACAAAAAAAGAACAAACGCCAAGTTGGGCTCGGTTCAATCACGCGTGAGCCGTGGGCGCGCCCCTGTCGCACAAACAGTGGGAGGATTTGTTCCCCATCCGCTCGCCTTTGTCCGGCGCATGTGGTCCAAAACATTGCCATGTGCGCACCTTCCAAAGCACTGACCTCGACAGCAAAGGCGAGGCGTGACAAGCCAAGGACGGATCAGAGCAGCAGCGGCCGCCCCTGCGCTTCGCGTCGGGCGAGGGCAGCCTCGACGGAGCGCACCAGACTGGCCAGATCGGCTGGGCTGCGTGCCAGCCGCTCCAGGTTGGCATCCAAGATCTGGTCGGCAGTGCTGACGGCCTCAAGCACCTGCGCGCGCCCAGTGGCGGCGGTCGATAGCCTGCGTGCGATAGAACAACGCTCCGCACGCGCGCTCCCTCTCCGGTCTCTCGCCCTCGGCTTGTCTGGGTGCGCCATCCACCCCTCCCACAGTGCAACCCACACTCTCGCGGCGCGGGCAGTTCCCAGATACATGCCCTCACGTGGACATCGGCGATGCGCGCGCGGAGCGTCCGGACGAGAAGCTCGGTCGCCGCGTCGCGGGGCAACTCGCAAAGCCAGCATGGCCCGCGCGCACGCGGCACGACCATCAGCTTGACGGCGGCGGGGTCGGAGAGGTTGAGGCCTGGGACACAGGGGCGGGCGCCGTCAGGCGCGCGCGGCCGCGATGCGTCGCGCCCCGAGGCTTGTGACACCGAGCCGCACACTCGAAAGCGGCGCGTGGAACAGGGCCGCACCGCCGGGAGCCTGCCGATCGGCTGCACCGGAGAGGAAGGAAAGCGTGTCGGCGTCGACCAACACGCTTCCGCGCTCGGCGACGACCGCAAACTGCCCATCGGCAGGGTCCTCGCGCGCAACTTTCGCCGTGCTCTCCGGCATCGATGGGTTGAGGGCAGGGGTTTGTTGAGGGCCGCGGCGCTCTTCGGCGGAGCACTTCGCTGTTCCAGGAATTCGCTGGTGAGGCGCCGCGCCATTTTTTTATTTTCGCCCTCCAAGCTCGAGTGTGTGTGTGTGAATACTCACTCACACCAAGCTCGACTCCAGACATCGACCCGGCACCACCGTGCTCCCCTCCCGAGCCCGAGTCGGACGGAGGGAGCCGCAGGGGATCTGGCTGACTGGCTCGATTGCAGCTCAGTCGCCGGACCCGTCGCTGGTTCGCGGCTGCCGCCTTCCCCACTCACCCCACCGTCCGTCGCCCACCCGCCACCGCTCTGCCTGCCTCTCCGCCACCATCGCTTCCGCGCCTCCGACTGCAACAAACAAAGATCAAAGACAAAGTGAGACTGCCGCCGGGTTCACCCGACCTGTGAACGTCCGGTGTGCGCGCATGACCGGTGCGGCCTCCGAGTCGGCGACTAGCGCGCGTCATAAGGTTTTTGCTTGCCTTCCCTGGGGCCCCGTGTTGCATGTCTGACTGTCACTGTGCGATTTCGGGACCCGGGGTTGTGCGTTGATGTGAATCCTGCGCGCGCGGGCCTTCTAGGCCCGCGGGTAGTCTCCCCCCATCCCCAGGGCCTCCAGGGCTCGCACCTCAACCTCTCATAGACCAGCGCACAGCGCCATACCGAGGAATTTAACAAGGCTGTGTATTTTCTTCTCAATAACAAGGCTGTGATTGTCT